TCAGGCGCGAGCGTGTGCGCCGTCCATCGTGTTCCTGGATGAGATCGACAGTATGGTGGGCTCCAGAGCGGACGGCGCCTCGTCCCACAGTGTCCAGTCGCAGGTTCTGTCGGTTCTGCTGACCGAGCTGGACGGCGTGGGGATCCGGGCCGTGGAGAGGCGGAGCCAGGGAAGAAAGATCGCTCAGGTGGAGGGAGGAGAGCAGGAGGACGCCGGAACGCATCAGGTCACACTAATGAGCTGAAGCACTGCAGTCACGTGACCCTCTGCCCTCGCGGGCCCAAGCCCGAAATTAGACTTAAATGTTTTTTGTTCAGATACAAATGAACAAATTATGTGTAGTTTAAGCACATTCCTCACATTCTTTCAACTTAAACTATAAATAACTCTATTTCATGCATAACCCTTTTAAAGGAGTAGTTCACTTTTGAAAAAACTTTAGCTGATAATTTACTCGCCCCCGTGTCATCCAAGATGTCCATGTCTTTCTTTCTTCAGTCAAAAAGAAATGAAGGTTTTTGATGAAAACATTCCAGGATTTTCTCCATATAATGGACTTCAATGGGGTCCAAACGGTTCAAGGTCCAAATGAGAGTTTCAGTGCAAACTGTTCAAAGGGCTTTAAACGATTTCAGATGATGAATAAGGGTCTTATCAAGCGAAACGATCACTCGTTTTATAAATAAATAACAACGTTTAAGTTTTATAAGCTCAAATGCTCGCCTTGCTCTGTTCCGTGACGCGCGTTCGTGACTCTCCTGTTCGAACTCGTTCATCAAAATGAACAAATCTTTTTTCGAGTCATTTGGTTCATTTGGCGAAAGAAACGAACGAATTGATTTGGAAAAAGATTTGTTCATTTTGTTGAACGAGTTCGAACAGGAGAGTCACGAACGTGCACTACAGAACAGAGCAAGGCGAGCGTTTGAGCTTATAAAACTTAAACTTTGTTATTTATTTATAAAACGAGCGATTGTTTCGCTTGATAAGACCCTTATTCATCGTCTGAAATCGTTTAAAGCCCTTTGAACAGTTTGCACTGAAAGTGTCATTTGGACCTTGAACCGTTTGGTCCCCATTGAAGTCCATTATATGGAGAAAATCCTGGAATGTTTTCATCAAAAACCTTCATTTCTTTTCGACTGAAGAAAGAAAGAAATGAACATCTTGGTGAATAAATTATCAGCAAAAGTTTTATGAAAAGTGAACTACTCCTTTAATTCAGCTCTAAATATCCTACATTCGGTGTCTTTGTCTTATCTTGTGGAAAATAACTCAAATAACACATTTCATGGCTCAGATGGGCTCATAGCTCAAATCATAACTAACTGGTATTCATCTCTTCAGTGAGCTCACGGTTTCAGAACTAGTACATTCTTTAAATTAATACCTTTTTTGCTAACTGCGATTTTGTATATGCAATGTTAACACTGTGTGTGTGTGATTTCAGATGGAACTCCAGGAAGTGTGTAATAAGGATGTTTTGATAGTGGCCGCCACTAATAGAGCAGATGTTCTGGACAGCGCTTTGCTCAGACCCGGCCGACTCGACCAGATCATATACGTGCCTCCTCCAGACCGAGCGGTGAGACAGGCCACACACACACACACACACACACCTCACTGCGTTAAAGTCACCTGGAAATCTTCATTGAATTTCGTGGTGTCTGAGCTCTTCATGTTTGGTGTTGGTGTTGTGTGCCGTCTCTGATCAGGCTCGTCTGGCCGTGCTGCACGTCTGCACTAAACGTGTCCCTCTCCATCAGGACGTGTGTTTGCAGGATCTTGCTGATCAGACTGAGCTCTTCTCTGGAGCCGATCTAGAAAACCTGTGCAAAGAGGTAAATCACTCGCCGTCACACACACACACACTCGCTCTCTGCTGTCCTGTAAACCTGATCTGTGTGTTCCAGGCGGCTCTTCTGGCCCTGCGTGAGGAGGGACTCGACGTGTCCTGCGTGAGGCACAAGTGCTTTACAGAGGCGCTGCGGAGTTTGAGTCCATCGCTGAGTCCTGAACAGTTTCAGCAGAACTTACTCTCATGTCTCTAACAATAAAACTGTCATTTTTATTTGTAAAAATTACAAATAAAATTGTAATTTGTGTACAAGTGTCATATTTTTCATTTTTCAATCTTAATGTTCGAAGTAAAGTGTGTTTTTACAACTTTCCAAAATAGGAAAAAAATAGAGCGATTGATAACGGCAGCTTTACCGTTAACTAGTTTTTTGGGGAATTTTATGCAAAGGTAATAAACAGATTAGTACAGTATTATAAATGGACTGTGACTGTGGTCAGTGTGAGCGGGACGTGAGGTCGAGGGAGTGCTGTGGATGTAGAAGGACTACGACAGCTGAACTCTGAATGAAATGCATGTTTTAAACAGATCCGTTTCTACATCTGTACAACAGCAGGCGCAGTCAGTAAATCTGTTCATTAGTGCTTCAGTTTAAAATAAACAAACGCTGTAGTAATTACACGAGATGCGATTGTTTAGAATTGATTTACATATACTAATTCCTAATTCTTAGATTCCTAATCCCATAATACTTTTAGCAACAGGAGAGCACACTACTCACAGCACACTACTCACAGCACACTACTCAGTCCCTCCATTTTTTTGTGATTTTTGCGATCAAATTGACTGATTTTATGGTGGTAATTTCCAAAAATTTGTGAAAAAATTTGCGATTTATATTTAACATTTACCATACTAGTATTCAGTCCTTCCAGAAAAACGTGGAGTTTTTTTGTGATTGTTGTGGGCAAAAATTGATTGATTATGCGGCCCGTTTTCTTTAAAAATGCGATGGAATATGCGGGATATTTATGCAATTTTATGTGATGAAATTGCAGGAATTTGCAAAAATTGAGGGAACTTGCAAAAATTGCGGTTTGATGAAAAAGAGAAAAAAAGTGATTCCCCCAACATCCTGTTAATGTAAGAGTCATTTCTTATTACTTCCTTTGATAAGCAAGCATACTACATCATAGAAAGCGCTGGGAATATTTAATTTCTCATCTTGTTTTATTTCAGACTGTAACGAGTGTAAATAAGGTGTGGCCCCTTTAAAGGAGCAATGTGTGATTTTTAGCGACATCTAGTGGTTCGGTTGCGAGTTTGCACTAAGGGCTCAGCCCACTGCTCACCCCTCCCTTTCGAAGAAGCTACGGTTGCTAAAACGGGACAAACATCTCGTCGGCTGAGACAGCAGAGAATAGCCAGAGTAAGCCAAGAGTGTGTAACATTGTCACTGTTTCTGTACCACAGTCCATTATAAACCACATCATGAATACTGTTTACAAAGCCATAGTCAGGTGAGGATCAAGGGTTTTAATATATAATTTAATAAAATAATATTAATCAGCTGATTGTCTCACAAACGTAACCAGCAGCACATTTCTCCCCACATACTGTAGCAAACCCATAATACAGCGAGGGAGCAGCTATATATTTTTTCTAACAGGGTAGTAATAGTTTAGCTGGCTAATATGAGCTGTTACTGTGGCTGAGCTGGGACGCGTCTGCATGAGTCCAAAGGTCGGAAGTGCGCGCGCTGTTACAATCATGTCATCTCCGCATCCCATAGATACTATTTACTACACACAATAGGCTTTTTTTCTCTGATTTTGAAAAATCTTCGCGATCGACTTTAGTGATAAAAGACTTTAGTAAAAGTCTCTATCGACGGGTTAGTGATTCCTGTAACGTACTGTTTTACGGTCCATGACATGAATACTAATCATCAGCTGTCTCACGAACGTAACAGCACATCTATCACCAACATAACAAACCCATAACACAGCGAAGGAGAACTAAGTTACATGAAACAATCCCAACTACATATTTTACACCACTCACAAGGGAAAAGTCACTACTCACGGAGTGTAAGGCTAGCTTCCAGCTTTCCGCTACTTCTCTTTCAAGGTAGTGATGAAACGCGTTCTTGCGTGCGACAGACAGTTATACGAGTTCGATTTGTGAGATGTCAATCGCCTCCGTGAGTCTGTCTGGCGTCCCGTAATTGCGTCACTTCATAACGTTCCCATGGAAACAGGGGGAAATGGCTGCTCTTGTGTGAAGCAAACAAAACATTTTTCAACTTTCTGCTAAGATACATGTGACTTTTTTGCAACGAAAATGCGAGGATTATGAAATTATGCAAACCCCGCATATTTTGCATGGAAATCGGCAATTTATGCGGCGAAACTGCGGCGTATTTGAAAAAATGCGGCCCCCGCATAAATATGTGGACTTTGGCTGATTTTGCATTGAATTCAGCGATCGCATAATCGCGTTTTCCTGGAGGGACTGATTACTCAACCTCACAGTACACTACTAACAGCACACTACTCACAGCACACTACTCATCCTCACAGTACACTACTCAGCACTGAGACGTGAGGCACTCCAGTATCTCGATCAGTGTTTCCCAGCCCTGTTCCTGGCGGCACACCAACACTGCGCGTATTCTTTGTCTCCCTAATCAACCACACCTGATTCAACTCATCAGCTCATAATCAGATGGTATGTTGGTGTGCCGCCAGGAACAGGGTTGGGAAACACTGATCTAGATGATAACAGTGATGATAAAACATGTTTCTGAATGTCAGATCCTAGTGATGTCATGTAGATGGAGAAGAGACGCGGTTCCAGCACTGAGCCCTGAGGCACTCCAGTATATACAGTAGACACCATGAAGGACCCGCTGAGAGGTCAGACTCAGAGCTGAACCACCGGAGTGCTGTTTCTGAGATGCCCTTTTCATTTATAGACATGTTTTTATTAGTTACTTTCGATCAAAAATAAATACAAATTCATTAATCCCCAACAATGAAAGTTATCTCTTCTTACTCCTTTGCCCATGATTTTACTAAGGGTCTGTCCTGGTCATTCATAAGGAGGAGAGCAGCAGTTGATGGCAGTGGAGAAGACTTCCTCAGGCAGTGTGAGGTAGATTGTCCTGGTCTCCAGCAGAGGGCCTCATCAGTTTCAGTTTGAAGGTGAGAGGGTGTGTGTGTGTTTGTGTGTACGTGCCATCAAACACATCTGTTTTGTGTTTATACGAGCAACTCAGTCAGAACGAAACTCCATTTACAACACAACTTCATAAGGTCGGTTCACTCTCATCATCATTGATGTTTCTTCATCTGTGACTCTCAAACTGTCACTGAAACACTGAACAGAACAGAATAATTTTGGATATTGTTTTCTCCTCGTTGTAGCAGGTGAAAGATGTCCGGAGGGTTTATTAAAATGCTGAAGAAAAGGAAGGAGGTGAGGAAGACTTATCATCATCATCATCATCTGGAATATTTAATCACTGAAACTGCTTCACTTATTCTTTTCTGGGATTGTTCTAGCTAATTCCTCTGATTGGGATTGTTGGTTGTGCCGCACTCGGAGGAATGACAGCCTCCGTTTACTTCCTACTGACCAAATCGGATGTCATGTGAGAAACTTCATCTTTATTATAGATTTATTCAATTCATGAATACGGTTAATAATAAACAGTACTATCATCAGTCTCAAGTGCTTCCTGTATGCTTTATTGTTACTAATTACTGTGGAGTTCTGTTGGTTTCTAGCAAAATGAACGATTAATGTATGATGATAATGAGTGATATAAATGTACAGTGAACATTACTTGACTTTTATAGTTTAAACAAGACAGGAAACCCAGAGCCATGGGAGACAATAGATCCGTCCAAACCACAGAAGGTAAACGCCTGTCCTTTATTACGGGTTATGCCCATGTTTATTCTTTAATATAATCGCAGGAGCTCAAAGTGCGCTTCGATTCCCTGATCATGTGAATCCAGAGTACATGATGTACAAGATGAAGCGGTTGAGGAGTGACTGACAGGTTCTCTGTTTTCTTCCAGCTGATGTCGATTAACCAGCAGTGGAAACCAGTGGAGGAGCTGGAACTGGTGAAGAAACTGACCAGATGATCTCCTCTGCTGAACCGCTGCACTCTCAGGACATTTTAAAAGCTTCTGCTAAAACAAGAAATGTAACTTTTGCACTGTAAAAATCACTCAGAACTTGAATAAACTCAAAGAAACTCTGCTGATGTGTGTCTGAATTCGTGCTTACATCCGTTCAGCTGAACAACAGGAGAATCTGTCGCCGGATCTGTGACTCAGACTGAGGAAACGACAAACCTTCATCTCCGACATGAAGATCCTGCTGAGAGAGGCTGATGTGTGTGTGTGTGTGTGTGTCATGAACACAGCCCATGTTATCATAGCAGAAGCCCATGTTCTCCAGCCACACGTCTGAGCCGGTTTATGTTGCACAAGTATCAATACTTGTTAGAACGAGTCTCTCTCTGTGTGTGTGTGTGTGTGTGTGTGTGTGTGTGTGTGTGTGTGTGTGCGTGGCTTCGTGTTCTGTCCTCATGTCACCCATCATGTGGTCAGGAAGTGTTTGACACCACAACTGAACACTGATGATGCGTCACGTCTAGGGAGTGTTTTATGCGCTGTATAACTGTTGTGAGTCGTAATTGTGAGATTCAGTGGGGCCAAAAGTCAGCCACTGTTCTCCTATTTAGGATGATGAGAGAGGTCTGTAATTTTCATCATAGGTACACATCAACTATGAGAGACAAAATGAGGAAAAAAATATCAGGAAATCATAATGTAGGATTTTTAAATAATTTATTTGTAAATTATGGTGGAAAATAAGTATTCAGTTCAACTCAATACTTTGAAACATAACCTTTGTTGGCAATGACAGAGGTCAAGCGTGTCCTGTAAGTCTTCAGCAGGTTTGCACACACTGTAGCTGGTGTTTCGGCCCATTCCTCCACGCAGATCTCCTGGAGAGCGGTGATGTTTCGGGGTGAAACGGACTCCACAAATGTTCAATGGGGTTGAGGTCTAGGCCACTCCAGGATCTTGAAATGATTTTTACATGAGAGTCACTCCTTCATTGCCCGGGTGGTGTGTTTAAGATGAAGGAGGTTTGGGCTTAAAATCTCACGAGACATGGCCCCGTTCATTCTTCCCTCAACACGGATCAGTTCTCCTGTCCCCTTTGCAGCCCCAAAGCATGCTGGTTCACAGACAACGGGTTCAATAATACAGGAAACAAGTGGAGGACAGAGTGAAGTTCTCATAGAAGAAGTTACAGGGAGACAGAAATCTTGCTGGTTTGTGGGTGACCAAATACTTATTTTCCACCATAATTTACTAATAAATTATCCTACAAAGTGATTTCCTGGTATTTTTTTCTCTCTCATTTTGTCTCTCAGTTGATGAAAATTACAGACCTTTCTCATTATTCTAAATAGGAGAACTTGTGCAATCAGGGGCTGACTAAATAATTTTTGGCCCCACTGTATAAACTCATGATTAAAGTGCCTTTTTTACTGTTTTTTCACATGTGGCCGTTCCTGCAGTGTGTGATGAAGCTGTAAACGCTCAGTTCAGATAAACCGAGTTGTTGTTTACTAAAAGAAAGAAGTGATTCTGAACTGAAACGAGTCATCA